AGTGCACCTATACGAAAGACAAATAAAGTTTTATAAACACTTAATAACGCCATTTTTTTATTATTTACATATGCTTCAATAAAATTAAGTGACACTAATGGAATTAAAGTTAATGTTCACTTAATGAAGAGTTAAGTGAACATAACATTTGGTAACTCTTGAAATTAGTGTTCACTTAATGAATAGTTAATGAAGAGTTAAGACTTCTTGTAACTCTTGGTGTTCTTATGAAAATATAAAAGTCTTTAATGGGAAGATTAACTTTAATGAACTAATACTATATAAAAGGGTCCCAAACCATACTCTTTTATGACGTGAATTATGAAATGAAACACCACAATTAGTACTCATTAACTATAGAGAGAGAAGTGGTTTGAAGATCTTATAATTTTACATTGGTTATTCAGAATAGACGGAACATAGCTTTTGGCTCAGTTTGAAGTTTAGTCAGCATCAATAACTAAGGTTCAAAATCTCTTACTCATAATGGATTAAGGTAAGATATGTACCACTTCTAAATTTTATAATTCATGGTGTTTTTGTGCATCAAAGTTAAATCCTAATGGGCTAATTATTGCTAAAGTATTTTTTATTATGTCTAGAAGTGATACTTTAGCAATAATTAGCCCATTAGGATTTAACTTTGATGCACAAAAACACCATGAGTTATAAAATTTAGAAGTGGTACATATCTTACCTTGATCTATTATGAGTAAGAGATTTTGAACCTTAGTTATTGAAACTGACTAAGCTTCAAACTGAGCCAAAAGCTATGTTCCGTCTATTCTGAATAACCAATGTAAAATTATAAGATCTTCATACCACTTCTCTCTCCATAGTTAATGGGTACTAATTGCGGTGTTTCATTTCACAATTCACGTCATAAGAGAGTATGGTTTGGGACCCTTTTATATAGCATTAGTTCATTAAAGTTAGTCTTCCATTAAAGACTTTTATATTTTCATAAGAACACCAAGAGTTACAAGAAATCTTAACTCTTCATTAACTATTCATTAAGTGAACACTAATTTCAAGAGTTACTAAATGTTATGTTCACTTAACTCTTCATTAAGTGAACATTAAATTTAATTCCATTAGTGTCACTTAATTTTATTGAAGCGTATGTAACTCAAAAAAAATGGCATTATTAAGTGTTTATAAAACCTTACACTTTTTATCTTTCATATAGGTGCACTTAATATTGGATCACCTTCCAATTATTTTCTTAAAACCCTCTTCATGGAAGTATCTAATATATCATATGTATAATAATGTAAAGGCCACATTAAAGAGATAAATTTCTAACAATCTCCCACTTGGCCTACATAATTATACCATTTATTAGATTTTTTACATAATATGGCCATCACACTGTTCCAAAGATGAGGTTGCACCATCTCCATTAGATTCTGTTCAATAAAACTACTAATGCCAAACTATTGTAGTTATTGAATCACTCATCAATTCAATACCATTCAACAATTATAGCATTAATACCTTCATCAACATAAATCGGTGAGATTTAACTAATACTGATGACATTAGCAAAGTAATGGTGATTAGTGCTAATTCATCATTAACGGTCTAATATTGCTTTTATATTTAATTGTGCATAAAAGTTGAAAGCAACACAACATAATCATCATATTGTCATAAATATAATGTGATCACACCAAAAACATCAATACATTTTTAACCCAAACATAAAAGACTTTTCACCAAGCCTATGTGTGCAACATGATCCTTAAAGAGCTTAGGTGAGAGACCTTTTGTCAATGGGTCTACTAACATGAGTGTAGTACTTATATATTCAATTGAAACAATTTGATTCAAAACCCTCTCTCTCACAGCAAGATACTTGATATCAATATGTCTCGATCCTCTAGTAGTTTTATTATTTTTAGAGAATCGAATAGAAGCATCATTATCACAGTAAATTTTTAAGGGTTTTTGTAATCAAATCAGCAACACTTAATCCTGTGATAAAATTTCTTAACCATATTGCATGACATGTGGCTTCGAAACATGCTACGAATTCGACCTCCATAGTGAAAGAGGCAACTAGTGATTGCTTTTGACTCTTCCATGAAATAGGCCCCTCTGCTAGCATAAAAACATATCCAAAAGTAGACTTTCGGGTATCCGTGCATCTAGCATGATCAGAATCTGAATAACCAATAACCTCATGGTTACCTGTCCTTTTGTATGTAAGCATATAGTCTTTAGTTCCTTGCAGATAACGTTGTACTTTCATGACTGCATTCTAATGATTAATACCGGGACGTTTACAAACTTGAAAATATATAATACTCCCAACTGCAGAAGCATAAGGAATTCCCTTCATTTGTTCCCTTTGAGTATCATTTTTGGGACATTAGAATTCACCAAATTTGTTAGCCTTAACAATAGGGGCAACAGTATTAGAATAATGTTGCATGTTGAATTTTTTAAGAACCTTATCAATATAGGCTTGTTAGGATAATCCTAAAAGACTGTGAGACCTATCTCAGTGAATTTCAATACCAATAACAAATGATGCTTCACCCATATCTTTCATATCAAAATTCCTTAACATGAATTGTTTTGTCTCATATATCATTCCAATATTATTGCTGACAAGCAATATATCATCAACATTCAACACTAAAATATAGATCTTACTCCTACTGATCTTAAGGTATATACATGAATCCACTAGATTCTCCTTAAACCAAATTTGGTTAAAACTTCATGGAACTTAAGATACCATTGTCGAGAAGCCTGTTTTAGACCACATATGGAATTTTTCATCCTAGACACCTTGTGGGTCTTGCCTTTATCCTAAAAACCTTCAGGTTGGTCTATATAGACCACATCATGCAAGTCACCATTTAAGAAAGCTGTTTTAACATCTATCTGATGTAGCTCTAGATCATAATGAGCTACTAATGCCATGACTATTCGAAGGGAGTCCTTCTTGGAAATTGGAGAAAATGTTTCCTTATAATCAATTCTTTCTTTTTGAGTGTATCCTTTAGCAACTAATCTGGCCTTTTCAATATTGCCTTTGGAATCACATTTGGTTCTGAAAATCCATTTGCAACCAACATTTTTGGATCATTCAGGTAATTCTACAAGATCCCAGACTTCATTATCCTTCATGGATTTTAGGCATTAAGCCAAAGAGTTAATTTATCGCTACTTATAGCTTGAGCATAAGAAATGGGATCATTTTCCAAGCCAATATCATAATCACACTCATTTAAATAAATTTCATAGTCATTCGATATAGCAGGCCTACTTTCTCTTTGGGATCTGCGTAAAGGTACTTCTACAATTGGAGTAGATTCCTTAATGTGGGAAGTTTCTTTAACACCACAATTTTCCATAATAGGTGTATGTGTCACCTTATCTTGGACCACCTATAATGGCATAAGAATCTGATCTACCTCAAAGGAAATTTTTCTAGGCTCAGTTCTCCTACTAACATCCCCATTTTCTAAAAACACAGCATGTCTAGTTTCAACAATTCGAGTACTATGAGTAGGACAATAAAATCTAAACCCTTTTGATCATTCTAGATAACCAATGAAATAACAACTTATAGTTCTAGAGTCCAATTTCTTTAATTGTGGGTTGAATATTTTAGCTTTTGTTGCACATCCCCAAATATGAAAATAATTTAAAATCGGTCTCCTACCAACCCATAACTCATAAGGAGTTTTAGGCACAACCTTACTAGGAACCCGATTTAAAATATATATAGCAGTCCTCAAAGCTTCACCCCATAAAAATTCAGGTAAAGAGGAATTACATATCATGCTTCTCACCATTTCCATTAGAGTACAATTTCAACGCTCAGCAACACCATTTTGTTCAGGTGTGCTTGGCATTGTATAATTTGTAACAATACCGTTCTCTTTCAAATATAAGGAAAAAGGACTCAGATTTTGACCCGACTCAGTGAATCTACCATAATATTCACCGCCTCTATCTGATCTTACAGTTTTAATCCATCTGTCAAGTTAATTTTCAACTTCAGCTTTATAGATTTTGAAAACATCAAGTGACTTAGAATTTTCATGAATAAGATACAAATAAGTATACCTAGAAAAGTCATCAATAAAAGTAATGAAATATTCATGTCCATTAATGGTTGAGATTGGAAAAGGTCCTCATATATCATTATGAATTGTTTCTAACAATTCTGTGGTCCTTGAAGCACCCTTTTTCTTAAATTTTGTGTACTTCCCTTTTATGCAATCCACACAAGTACTGAAATCAGAAAAATCAAGTGAATCAAGAATTTCATCTTTAATAAGACGTGTAATCCTTTCTCTTGATATGTGGCCTGGACGTTTATGCCACATGGATGAATTCGCAACCACTCGATTTCTCTTTTTCTTGGTAACATCATTCACATTAAAGGATAAAAGTGACTGTGCATAATTTGAATATAAATTCAATGAATAAAGATTACCCTGTAGGATACTAGAGCCAACTATATGAGAATTATGGAATAAAAAGACTCGTTTATTTCCGAACTTTAATTCATAACCATAAGAATTAAGTTTCAGAACTGAAATAAGGTTTCTAGTAAATACAGGAACTAAAGTGTATCTACTCAATCCATAATGAAAACAGTGTTCAAAATTAGATGTAGAGTCCCAATGGCCTCAACATCTACCTCTGTTCCATGTCCTAATGTAATGGCCCGCTCTCCTTTATTTAGTCTCTTACTTGTAAGGTATCCCTGCATAGAATTTGTTATGTGAATACTTGCACCAGTATCAATCCACTAAGTGTTTGGTGGAACATCAACAAGGTAGGATTCATAAGACACAAAACATTGGGTTTTACCTTTCTTTTCCAACCAAGATTTAAAACCCTGACAATCTTTTCTCACATGACCTTTCTTATGACAGAAATGGCAACACATCTTATTATCTTCCTTTTGGACTTGGTGAGTATCAACATTAGCATGTGTAGTTTTCTTACCTTTACCTTTCTTGAACTTCCTTCTACTTAGACCCCCCAATGGTGAGGTGAGCCATATCGGGTTTTTCTGCTTTAAGCCTCTCTTCTTCTTGAACACACATGGCAATCAACTCGCTCATCTTCCACTTCTTTTTCTGTGTATTATAATTAATTTTAAATGGACCAAATTGGGCAGGAAGAGAAATCATCATGAAGTGAATGAGAAATCCTTCAGAGATTTCCATGTCCATTCCTTTCAATTGAGAGGCCATATCATTCATCTTCATAATATGCTCACAAACACTACTTTGACCATCATATTTCATTATCATCATTTTCATCATTAGAGTACTAGCAACTGATTTAGAAGTACCCAAAAATTGTTCTTCAACTGATTTCATATAGCTCATTGCATTATCGGAGTCATAAATGGCTCCTCTAATTGCAGGCATAATTGAACTTTTCATAATCATTAGACTCATGCGATTAGAGCGCTCCCATTTTTCATATAAAGCCTTTTGTTCGATAGTACTTTCAACAGTAGGCTTTATAGGTGCAGGCTCCCGTAATGCATAGTCTAAATCCATACAACAGAGAACAATTCCAATATGTTCCTTCCATTTCTTAAAATTTGTTCCACTTAAAGCCTCAATACTAGACAAGTAACCAGTAATTGCAGTAAGATTCATAGCTGTAAAGAAATAATTTAATTAACAATTTGTCATGCATGCAAATTAGCACCACACTTTCAATAAATCTAACTAAAATCAAAAGTAGTTAGATATAAAATCAATAGATTTACCATATCATCATAAGAAACCAATAATGCAATTGTAATTCTTTCGTTGGGCGGAACTACAATATATTATTAGTATATTTTCAAATTTATATATATATATATATATATATATATATATATATATATATATATATAAGACATTAAAATCATCCTTACCTATGTCACCATAAATGAGGTTGACAAAGATGTAATGCATATCATATTCCTTAGAGAATTATATCACCTCTAGGCAGAAAAACTCCAACATGCTTTACATTAATCATAACATTCATTTAACCATAGTGATCCATCGTTGGGCTGATTATAACTATATATGGTTTAATTATTGCACAATGTCCAACTATTCATAGTATTGAACCTCCGTTGAGCTTATCAATATTACTTCAAAATTGAACATTTCAAAATGTGAACCAAAAAATAATTTTATAATATATAATCATCAATATTGAGCAATTAATTGGGTTATACATAATCAAGCATCAAAATAATCTATAGAGATACTCAAGAAATTCATATAAGTTTCATGCTTTAAAATTGAGAACCATGTCTCTGATACCACTTCAAGACACAATAAGAAATACTTTAGCAATAATTAGCCCATTAGATTTAATTTTGATGCACAAAAACACCAGGAGTTATAAAATTTAGAAGTGTCACATATCTTACCTTGATCCATTATGAGTAAGAGATTTTGAACCTTAGTTATTGATGCTGACTAAACTTCAAACTGAGCCAAAAGCTATGTTCCGTTTATTCTGAATAACCAATGTAAAATTATAAGATCTTCAAACCACTTCTCTCTCTATAGTTAATGGGTACTAATTGTGGTGTTTCATTTCACAATTCACGTCATAAGAGAGTATGGTTTGGGACCCTTTTATATAGCATTAGTTCATTAAAGTTAGTCTTCCCATTAAAGACTTTTATATTGTCATAAGAACACCAAGAGTTACAAGAAATCTTAACTCTTCATTAACTATTCATTAAGTGAACACTAATTTCTAGAGTTACCAAATGTTATGTTCATTTAACTCTTCATTAAGTGAAAATTAACTTTAATTCCATTAGTGTCACTTGATTTTATTGAAGCGTATGTAACTAAAAAAAAATGGCGTTATTAAGTGTTTATAAAACTTTACAATTTTTGTCTTTCATATAGGTGCACTTAATGGATCACCTTCCAATTAATTTCTTAAAACCCTCTTCATGGAAGTATCTAATATATCATATATATAATAATGTAAAGGCTACATTAAAGAGATAAATTTCTAACAATAAAAAGGAAAACAAAATATCCTCTTCTGCTTCAGCGCCACCCTCCCTCGTCATTGTCCTGTCCGCCATCTCCCTCTCTTGTCACAATCTACCTCAAACTAGCATACTTCTACTGAGTTGTTCCGACATCACCTCGTCGTTGTCTCACGGCTGTATTTTCAGATACTCACCATTTCTCTCTTTCTTTCCATTTTCATAAACCCAAACTCTCTCTCTCTCTCTCTCTAAAAATCACATTGAAGCCATTTTCTTTGGTTTCAATACCAACTAGAGGTATATCTATGAATCTCTGTATATATATATATATATATATATATATATATATATATATATGGTATAGGTTGTTTGTTTGTATTAATTTCAATCACTACTGTATTATATGATTTGATTCATCATCCATGGCTTCTTTTCACGTTGTTTTGGGTTTGTTTTTTGCTTTTTTTATGTGTTCATGCTTATTTTGGAGTTGTTGATTTTTTATTTTATGTTTGCTCCTGTGATTAGTTTTTTTTTTTTTTTTTTTTTTTTTTTTTTTTTTTTTTTTTAAGTTGACTATTAGTATAAAATTTGATTCTTTTGAGGTTGACCTGATAACTGCTCAAACAAAATTAAGTAGTTTGGGCCAACAAATCAATTATGATGCCTATACATATCCTGTTCAAAAAGTTGATTTCGGCAAGCTCAAATTATAGAAAGAAAGCAAATGGTAGTTTTCGCAACGAAGCAGCTATGGTGAGCATTATCATCCAATTGTCATGAGAATTAGAAGGATCCTTGGCTTCCATTCAAGTTTATCGAGACTCATTCATCCAAGAACCATGGCAGAATTTCGTTTAAATTTTTAGATGGCGCGGGTAACTCAACAAGTCACTAGAGTTGAATGATTATTAGTATTTCGTGTTGTAATCAAGATAATATTGGGTTTGTTTAATCAAAAAGAAGAAGGAAATCACTATTAGAACCACACTTTTGTGTACCTGAAGAGTTATACATTTTTCAAGAATTGCCTTGTATTATGAAGCTTTGCATCCTATATAATCTTCAATCAGCCTTCCTCTTCTGAATGTATAAAAGGCAAATCTTCCAACTTGTGAGATAGTATAGTCCCTCAGTGGATTACGTGGGAAATTCCATGGACGGTATGTTAGGCAGCCGAAACTTTTTAGTTATCAAGCAACTTGAAACTGCTGATTTCTTCTAGTTCTATTATAATATCAACGTTTATGTTGCTTTCAACTTTTAGAGCCCATTGATTCTTTATATACCACTTTCTCTAGTGGAATCTATAACAGAAAAATAATAATAATAAAGGTGTTGATAAAAATATTTAAAAGGTATTGAGGTAAATATTAAAAGTGTTGAGATAAAAATTAAAAAGTATTGAGGTAATGATTAAAATGTGTTGAAAACAAGATTAAATAGTATTGAGAATAAGATTAAAGGTGTTAAGAAAAATATTATAAAGTGTTAAGAAAAAGATTAAAAATTGTTGAGAACAAGATTAAAGGGGTTGAAAAGAAGTTTAAAGCTGTTGAGAAAAAAGAATAAAAGGTGTTGATAACAAGATTAAAGGTGTTGAGAAAAAGATTAAAAAGTGTTGAGAATAAAATTAAAGGTATTGAGAATAAGATGAAAAAGTGTTGATAAATAGATTAAAAAGTTTTGGACCCCATTTAAATCTATTTTTCACACGATTAAGTTTTGGACCCCTCATTTCTTTATAATTTGAAGAGAGGAGGAATTTCGTCACATCTTAATGCTGATAATTTAAGAAATAGTGAAAAGATAAAATAGTCATCCATAATACAAGTTTACATGTAAGTGCCTTGCAAAAGATTTTTAAAATATACAGATATTCAATTCAGTACGTGGTGGACCTGCTATAAATTTCATTATGAGATATGTGCTGCTGAGTTGTTATTCCATATGAGAAAAAAAAGGTCTACTTGTTTGTTTATATTTTGGTATGTAACAAACAACATTTTCACATTAATGGCAAACTATTAAATACGATTTTTGTATATATAAAAATACAATAATTTAATAGATGATAAAAAGATAAGATTGTCATTGATAATACACATGTTCACATGAAAGTGCCTTACTACATATTTTTAAAATATGGAGATACAACTGGGTACATGCCTACTGTTGGGTTTGTGGCTCAAAATTTGTGCGCAGAAAATTAGTTTCCTTTTTCGTTTTGGAAATTGCGAAAAACAGTTTCCTGATCGGTTTTGGAATCCAGAAGACTTGGGGAAAAAGGCTGAATATTTGAGAAAGAAGTTATACTTGCTATTTTAGAGTTAAAAATGGATATGGTAACTCATTGTAGGTAAGTTGATCCTTGTCCAACAAGAAATTGGATTTGAGGAATACTTGTCCAATAAGGAATTGAGTTTTGAAGACTCTATAAATAAAGATGGGTATGAGGGGTTTAGAGAGAGAGAGAAGAGAGAAAAGATGTAAGGGGTTTAAGGGTGAATGTTGTGAGGAAAGGGGAGAGTATATGTAAATTCCGAGTGTATACATGTAACCTCAAAAGAGATGATGAGTGAGTGAGTGGGGTTTCGACATGTGGTTGTATATTCTCTTTCTTGATTCATAATAGTATAATCTCTCTCTCCTATGGACGTAATCCTAGAGTTGGGTGAACCATGTAAAATATTGTGTTATGCGTGGATGTGTATGATTGTTATCTCCATATATGCTTGTGTTAATGTAATGTGATGATACTTCCGCTGTGTGTGATAAAGGAGGGATTTAATTCTTAACAACAGCCGATCGTTGAGTGGGTTGGAGGGAGTTAATTATCCCTAACAACTAGTATCAGAGTCGATGGTGGGTCAGAGCCTGTGATTGGTCCTGAAGATCAGTAGAAGAAGATTGCTACGAAGTTTGTCAAAGCAGAGGATGATAGTGAGGTTCTGTGGAGATTCAATCAAAGTTGATGATGACATAAATGTATGAAGAAGGTGATGGCGTGAAGCCCATGAGGAATAAGTCTTGTGACAAGCCAAAGGATGCTCGTTTTCAAGATGGGGTAAAGGTGATAGAGGTGAAGCCCACGAGGACCAAGTTTTAGGGACAAGCCAAGAGTGAGTGCTAGTTCTCAAGATGGGGCAAGCGGTGTGAAAAATGAAGGGGTTTGCTCTAAGCCTGATAAAGAGCAAAGGGAAATATGAAGATGAGACGTTTGTTGCTTTAAACCAGAAAAGCAATTGATGAAGATGAGTTGAAGATTGGTGGGTTGCCATGCGTGAGCAATTGAACACCAACTGGGTGGATAGATAAGATAGAAAAAATTAAGAATGATGAATTTGAGAAAAGGTGGAGATTATTATAGTGTTTCTCAAGTTCATTATAATGCTTTATTTGAGGTGGAGAAATCTTTGGTGGAGCTATGAAGAGATCCTTGTTCAAGGTGGAGCATTGGAGAAGCACGCGAAGATTGAATTTTGAGCCAAGGTGGAGATTGTTGGGTTTGTGGCTCAAAATTTGTGCGTAGAAAATTAGTTTCCTTTTTCGTTTTGGAAGCTGCGAGAAACAGTTTCCTGATTGGTTTTGGAATCCAGAAGACTTGGGGAAAAAGGCTGAAGATTTGGGAAAGAAGTT